TCAGTCAGCAGGGTAAAGCACGTTCAGACATCCTCCCAAAGCGAAAGGCGCCTTATAAATATAAATTGCTGTTGTAAAGTAAAGCTATATTTTCTTGAATACAAGGCCTACTGTGTCATGCTTTCCATCTCCGGTCCGAAATGACTCCAAATTTTAATGCTGAAGTTCCATAATTTCATACAGTTCAATTTTTGTTATTCACAATTGAATTCCTTCACTGATGATAACAGTGGTTATTGTGGTGATACTTTGTCCTTGAAGTGATTGATTCAGGTTTCAGGTGGCGGTATGGTAATTGAATAGTTATTGCACTTTGGCTGATAGCATGTTTATTAATGCCTGATGTCAGACCTCGCGTTTGCTTCACTCCAACCGAACTCACAGCAAGTGTAATTTCACCACCGAAATTCATCGCGGGTTTTATTTATAAAGCCTTAGTGTCATATGTGTGTTGGTTGCGGCATAAACAAATTGCAGCAACAAATAAACTTCAAGACATTTATACAAACAGATTAATCTTGGTTTACCTCTTGCAAGTTTACATTTACCAGCAGAGTAAAAGTGCAATATGTCTCCTTTGCTGTACGCTAGTAAATCTGCCAGCGATGGATTCAGCACTGTTGCGGGCTGATGGAATAGAATTGTCTAAACAACCTAGAAATGATTCACTTTACCTTTGCCCTCCACTCCAGCAATGTTTTGTGAAATATTCCCCAAAAAGCCATTTGGGGAAGCGAGTTTCAGAAAATACATACCCACGGGTGGTGGAATTTATTTTATTTTATTTGCGTGGATAAAATTGTCAAAATTATTCATCGTAATGTCTCTAAATCAGACAGCGATGGAACAGCCTGCAGACAATGCCTGTATGACATTGCGGAGTCTGCCAAGAAGGATATCGCCATCAACTGGCGCTCTCACTCCGAGACGCAAAGGGAATTTGCGATCACACAAACACAGTTCCTGTGGAGAAGGCGTCACTGTTCTCAGGCGGTGGAAGAGGAAGGGACCAGGCTAGAGTGGAAAGGCTCAGAAAATTCTGAGCGTTAGACTGTTTCATTTAAATTCATTCACCGTAACCAGTTGGTATACTAAGAGTCTCAGTTACCAGGGTTCTTACAGCATTACCATCAAACTCCCATCTCCCAGGACGTGTCTTGCGACAATTTTCCATTGTTTTCTCATGTGTCTGTCTCACAGTATAAAGTGACGTGAGTGGAGTGTGCTGGTGTTCATGTTTCTCGCCTGCACCGGCAGACTTTAATGTAGCTTCAATGTGGATTAATGCTGCTGTTGGTTCATGTAGGAATTTATTATTGCAATCGCAAATGAAAGTAATTAGGAGGTTTTGCGCCCCTCGTTATGAAGTTAATTAGCTTTAAAATCACTCACTACTGGCCCGTGAAGGATCCTTCATTAACTAAATAATCCAGCCAACATTCAGAGCAATTTTAGGACGTTGAGTTGTAATTTTAGGACATTGAGTGGCCCAGATGATGAGAATTTGTGCCTCAGAACCACTACCTGCATTAAAATTGCAAAAGAACTGTAACAAGGGCAATTATGTGAGAGATTTTTTCTGAAAACTTCTGAGTTGCAAAGAACTGAAGTGACTACAACAACAATTTATATATATATATTGTACCTTTCACATCAAGAGCTATGATACAACTAGCAGAACATAGAGATGTACACCATATTTGGACCAAGTGAATTAAAGTCACAGGTGATACAAAGCAACTGCAAGATAACTGCATTTGACAATTTGTCTTCGAGACATCTCAAAGCGTATTACAGGGTATACTGTAAAGTGGAATGACTGTGTATTTTGTGGGCGCAATATTTTATCATCAAGATGCCTACAAATTATTCACAAGATTTACTGTAAATGATAGTGACTGTGTATTTGTAGGCAAACGAGGCAACTGAGCAATGTCCCACAACCACCACCAGTTGACTGACTAATTGTATCTGGGATCTGTGTCAACCTCAGTCCACCAGAATTGTGAAAGAAATATGCGCGAAATTCAAGGATCCTTTTTTACAAACTCCTTCGACATTTATCACAGTTTTTAACATACTCTGTGTAATAATAACATCAACAATAATAATAATAAATGCACTCGATATTGCGGCTTTCACGTCAGGAGGACGTCTCACAGGACATATTGTGGAGTGCAGTGACAGCGTAATTTGCAAGTAAAACAGGAAACGGGATTTTGAGATGATGGTTTGACCGCAGGGCTGGTATGGATGAAGTTCTCACAGGGGATCACAGTTGTCTGCGTCTACAACCTTAATTAATGGGGAATATGATTTGTTACCATGTGCCTGCTGAATGTTTCCTCTCACCTCAACCAATTTAGAGACCCAGGGATAATACCAAGGGTGCAATAAGTCAATAGAGAATCTATCTCAAGGAGATGTGTGGATGCTGATGGCAGGCATGAAAAGACCCCCTAAATGGTATGATTATATATTCAGAAAATATTTGAACATGGTAATAACAGTCCATCATATAGTATAAATGAAACATAAATATTCAGCAGTCCTCTGAAATAATCCATACGCTTTTTAACATTATGCTAAAATAATGTATTGATATTTTAAACATGAGCACACTTTTCTCGGGTGTTATTATACGATGATTTAAATTAAATAATAAAGGTGAAATGCCTGCTTCACTATCAGCGATCGGGTCATCAGCCTTTCTGCCCCCACCCTCTGAAACTCCCTCCAGGATCCCTTCCACCTCGACCCCTACCGTGCTGCCTTCACAGCCCATCTCACGACCTCCCTTTTTGACTGTGCCTTCGGTCATCTTCCCTCCTCCATCCCACTTGGAGTCCTGTAGCTCAGTGGTTAGAGCACTCGCTTTGCAAGCGAGAGACCTGAGTTCAATTCCAGGCAGAGGGCGAAACCTTGGGCAAGTTCCCTTACTCCACACAGAACCTAATAATAATCCCTCCAAAACCAAAAACAATAATAAATTGGTCATTTTCAATATACGACTGTTTGTGGGACATTGCTGTGCGCAATTGGCTGCCGCGTTCGCCCACAAATATACAGTCAATTCCCTTTACAGTGTGTTCTGTGAAGCCCTTTGGGACGTCCTCCCGACGTGAAAAGCGCTATATCAAATTCAAGGATTATTATTATTATTATTATATTATTATTGCCTTCCAACCTTTTCTTATTCCAACCCGCAGCTCAGGTGCAAAACCCTCATTGTTCAGCACCTTGGGACATCCTCCCGACGTGGAAGGCGCAATATAATGCAATTTGTTGTTGTTGTTTTGCTTCTATTATTGCTGTATCCCGTCCAGCTTCATTTGTTTCACAGAAACTCTTAATTCGTTTCCAAAACAATCTATAGCAAAAAACAACTTGCTTTCATATACTGCCCAGAGTACTTATATCTTACCTGTTTAGCAATGACCTCGTCACAAATTAATTGCCTGAAGATAAGCATCGATGATTAGTTCTCTCCATTTTATAAAGCTGACTGGAGTCTGCGACCCTATTTTGTTCGGAATTGTTCGAGCAAAAGTAGCAGCTGCAATCCTTAAGGCACACTGTGAATATGGAAAAAAAAACACCATTGGGAAATGTGTTTTTTCCCAACATATTTTTGTGCATTTACTCTATTGACCTCTCCTTGTGCAATCTCGAACGACCTGTCAGCGAGGTAAATAATGGAATAGAGAGGCATGTGTGGCAAATGATTATAATTCACCTCTGTCAGACCTTGAAAATGTGTGTTTAGTGTTGATAGCAATCAACACCGGGTATGTACCAGCATTGATACGGTTGCAACTGGAGTGGACTGATAATGTTACTGCCATCTAGCTTCAGAAAAGTGCGCCCTTTTAACTACTACAATTTGCGCTCCTGCGTTTCCGTTTGATGTAGCGCCTTGCTATTTCGTCGAGACGTCTCGAAGCGCTTCACGGGATAACCCGTCGAGGCGGATTTACAGTGCGCATTTTGTGGGCGGAACGGTTTGCGCGCAGCAACAAACAGCCGCGAAGCGAGCGACCAATTTGATTTCACGGGGCGCTCAATCCAATGCAAAGATCATCATAACAATAGCAATAATAATAATCCGTGCCTTTGATATAGCGCCTTTTCACGTCTTGGAGACGTATCATCGCGGAATTATACAGTAGAGTAAAGCGAACTGACTATATATTTTCCGGGTGAAAATAATAACCATGTTGGGGAGGATGGAGGGGAGGCTGTGATAATAATAATAATAATAATAATAATAATAATAATGATGATGATGATGATGATTAAACACAACTCTGCCAGCTGGAGTCAGGAGTTGGATCGCCTGTTTAAACGAGGCAGAGACATGCTAATCTGGGGCTGCCAGCAAACCAATGCGTCAGCTTCCCCTGAAAGTCTGAGCAAACGCTAGTGGTGCTGAAAGTCTCAAGACAGCACAGCATTTTGGGCACGTCTCCGATGGAGAGACCATCATCTGGAGCTATTGAGGAGGGGAGGGGGGCATTCAGAGGCGATGGGGTCCCTTGAAGAACAGGGTCTCACCTCCTGTTGAGGAAACCACCTCCCACCCTCTCCAGAGAGGTAGAGAGACAGAAAGAGAGAGAGACATAGAGAGAGGGTTGTTGCAAGACAGGGTCGTTCTGTCGTTTCCTTAGCAACATGACTCAAGGTAGAACACAGACAGGAACCATCCGAGGTGACTGATTTGATTTCATCTGAAACAACAAAAAAAATTAATACAAAGGGAGAAGAGAGAGAGTAAAACGAATTACACACCAACTGATCTTTTAAAGGAGCTTTTTTTTTGCTTTTGTTTTATAATTATATATATATCATTTATTTAATTTATATATATATGCAGTATATAGTATATATATATACATATATATAGCTAGATAGCTAGATAGATATATAGATAGAGAGATAGAGAGAGAGAGAGAGAGAGCTAAAGAAGCAGAGAGACCTTCCTTTGGAAGATGGGAGACAAAATGCTTCCAGCCCAAGAGGCTGCCAAGATCTACCACACCAACTACGTGAGGAATTCGAGAGCAATCGGTGTCCTGTGGGCTATTTTCACTATCTGCTTCGCTATTATCACGGTGGTGTGTTTCATCCAGCCTTACTGGATAGGAGACAGCATCAACACCCCCCAGGCTGGCTATTTCGGACTCTTTCACTACTGCATTGGCAATGGCTTGACCAGGGAGCTGATCTGCAAGGGGAGCGCGCTGGATTTTGGTTCCATTCCCTCGGGAGCTTTCAAAACTGCCATGTTCTTTGTCGGCATCTCCATGCTCCTGATTGTCGGCTGCATTGTCTGTTTCGGGCTGTTTTTCTTTTGCAATTCGGCCACTGTCTACAAAGTCTGCGCCTGGATGCAACTGGCGTCTGGTGAGTTGAACTAAGCTGAGCGATTCAATAATGATGTGGTGCACCCCCCCCCCCCACCCCCCGCATTGTTTGATAATCCTAATAATAATTGCAATTGGTATAGTGTCTTATTGTGTGAAGCGCTTTGAGACTCCTCAATGACGTGATAAAGTGCTATATCAAATGCAAGGATTATTATTATTATTGCTATTATTATTATAACTGGCTTCCCCAAGGCATTACTTTCCAGAACAATTAACCCACTCATCTCTCTTTCTCTCTCTCTCTCTCCTTGATTACTGCTTAAACATGTTTTTCCTATTTATGAAGGTTTTTTTTTGTCCTTCCGGTGTCTACTTTAAGCGCACCGAGACGCTACCCTGCGCGGACGGGCGCTATATATAAGTGCAAGTCGTCGTTGTCGTCGTTACTCATTCTAGGTTGGCCAAAGTAGTTGCGCGCTAACCCACCTGTTTAGTGGGTGAGCAAAATGAGTTGCAACGGTGGGATTTCACACGCGCAAAAGCATAAAATGTGGTTCACCAGCACTTTGCAAAGGCTGAGATCAGGGCACAGGTGCTAACTCGCTGAGCGTCGACCGTTTTAAACAGGCTGATTCGATTGATCAAGACCTCAGCATCTTCTAACACATTCTCTGACAGCTTCACTCAACCCAAGATGGCATTGGCGTCAGCTTCCTTGAAAGACCAGCGATTCTTAAGAGTACTTGTCTGTAAGTCTGCCACTTGCTCTTAACCCGTGTTCTTATCACAGTTCTTCCCATTGCAAGTCCATTCAAGTAGAATCGGCACTCTGAGATACATTAAAAGAAAACATTCTTCTGATTTGCTGATGATTTCATGCACCTACCAATTATGATGGAAACATCTTTACAAAATACTAAGGAATTCTCTGAGGAAATTACTATTGTATTGCATAGAACTAAAACAGCACAAAAATTGGCCATTTAACCCTACTAGTTCATGTGAGTGTGTCTCCATACCTCCTAATCCCTTCCCCCATACACCTCTATTTCCTTTTCCCAGGTGTATGCATCAAGTTTCCTCTTAATTACGTGAATTTATTAATTGGTTACTCATATTACTATTTAAGATGTACAGTATTGCCACCTGTTGAAAATGTACCACTTCTTTACAAGTGATGAGTATTCATCCCATTGCTCCACCGAAGTCCATGTGATTTGTACACACATTTAAATGCAGACAATGTATTACATTATGTTGTAGCTTCTGTTACTTGACAATAAGAATCACAACCCGTAAAACATTACCTGTCGGTCAGGCAGTGTGAGTTATTTCAGAGTTTTTTTTTAAACAAGCCAAAGCGAGAGAAACGGCAGCAGAATTCAAACTCTATCAATAAATCCTCAGATGGGTTAGTTTCTGTGCACATTTTATTGCTAGTTTCTGTGCTTGGTGGCATTTTTGATGTTGACCCAGAAACTGTTTCCAGTTGTGGACAGTTTCTGATAGAGATACAAATGTCCAAATAGGTTTCATGCATCGGAGCTCCTTGCTCCTTCGCTCACTAGAATATTACATGTAAGATTCTCGAACAAGTCTCGTGTGTTTAGTGGTGTCCAATGTCAGCAGCAAACTTCCCAAAAGTCCATGAATGATGACACACGTGCTCGATTTCTGCTCTTCAGTGAAGTGCCTCGAAGGTGTAGTTTATGATAAAACGCTAAAAATGTTTTGCAGCCAAATAAATCAATCTATTGACAGCACTGGAAGGCTGGAAATCAGACATTGAAATGGTATCATGGTGTGCAGATATAGAAGAGTCCAGAGGTGTCTTCAGAAACAAAGTCAAAGTGAAGTTGAACAGTGTATGCACTGTTCAACGTGTCAAAAGCTGCGTGAACCTGCCATTTCTATCCAAGCAGGGAAATCTTGATTTTCCAAGATGTCAACACTTTTAAAATGCTTTCCTAGCCTAATTTCGAACAATCGATGACAATCAATCTCGTAAATAAAATATTTGTTACTCCATCTGATTTTCACCTTTGCGAGTGCAAAGGTATTTAAGGTTTGATAAACAACTGTTCTTTTCGATGAGCCGAATGTTTCGCCCACAAAATATACAGTCAATTAATTCACTATACAGTATATTCTGTGAAGCACATTGAGACGTCTCCAAGAAGTGATAAGGCGCTATAACAAATGCAACGATGATTATTATTATTATAACTCTGTGGTAAAAAATGCTGCAGTTCTACGAATTGCTTTTACCACCTTGAAGCAACACACAACACAATGCATTTCAGAATAATTTTAAGCACAATTGACTCTACTAGAAACAAGAATCCATATAGACTCAGAACAGTACATTGTGGACTTCAACATGTGGATAAAGACTTGAGTTGAAATCATCCTTTAAGTATAATGAAATGGACTCGGGTTGCTCTAAGCATGAACCTACTTGTCCCTGGAATGTACTTTACTGCCTAGACTTGTACCACTTTACTTTATGAAAACTTGTAATGGAGATGTTTGCTCAGATCCCCGACCTACATGATAATAGAAAAAGTGTTGGGTTCATAGGAACGGTCTGGGGTTACTGTGACACAGCCATGGTGTGTGCCTAACATTACATCAAATCCATTACCGAATTGCCAAATCGAAGTCCTTCAAACAAATGTACTACCCAGAATTTCAATGTAATATAGTTAACCGGGCAGTATGACTTTTTGTGATGAATGCTGATTAGATTTGCAAAAGGAAATTATGCGGAGTTACTGTGATTAAATCACTAGAATTTGCATGATTTTGTATCTGCCATAGACGGAAGGAGCCCAATGGGAGAGTTTGACATTTCCTCTATTAGAAGTGGAGTCTTCCCTTTAGTTATGAGACATTCTCAGGACATGTTAATAATATTACTTACTGTGATTTCACTTTCATGGTCTGTTTAATGGAATGAATGAACAAAAGGAGCTGTGCTAATCTCCTATTAAGAAGTCAGTCTTTGCACTGCATTTCATTACCATATTCGATGAGTTGCCACTTTCATGCATACAGACATCAATATCCTTCAAAAGAGGATGAATTCATAATTTAAGCGCTCCGAGACCCTGCCCCACGTGAAGGGCGCTGTATAAATGCAAGTTGTTGTTGTCATTAGTACAGACGATGTATCTCTTTTCGTTCATCATGTTTTGCCAATTCTCTGTATGTACAGTAGGGTTTCTGTAAACAGAAAGATGGTAACCTCTTCCGAAAGTTCATCCAGTCAATTTCTCACACAATCGGCAGTCAGATGTGAAAGACACCAGATACCCAGCGTACAGCACCGTATTTGCATACTGATTGTCGACTGATGCTTTCAACCACGCAACCTTTATAAAAGCACTCTAAATGTAAATAGGCTGTTACGGTTACACTCCTCAGCATTCCATCTCCCAGTAAGGAATCCGTACCTTTAATACCTGATTTCATTCACCCACAAATACACCGTCAATTCACTTTACAGTACATTCTGTGAAGCGCTTTGAGATGTCTGGAAGACGTGAAAAGCGCTTTATTAAATGCAAGGACTATTATTATTATCATTATTATTTAAGCTTCAGACTAGAGCTGATCACTTACAACTTGATTCTGGTCGGGAGAATAAATTCTACTTTGATTTCAAATGAACCATTTGTGAAATTCGGAAGCGTACCACTTAAGAGTGTGCTTCTGACAAATTGGAAATGAGAAATAGAAAGTTGCCTTTATCTCGTTATTTATGATGATGAGCATCTGAAATGTAATAATACAAGGGTTTGATCAAAATGGGATCTCTATGAGAATTTGTAACTCTGCCTGAGAAGTACAGTGCGGTAAATATTATTTGCTGTTCAGAAAGAGAGTGGGACAAGAATCTGGAAATGATATTCCGGTTAGCCTAACACTTTTAAAAGGAAACGTCGGATGCTATCAATACTCACCCGTAGAGTACAGACATATTGTGGAAACAATAGCTCATATCTTGTGAATCTACTGTAACTCTCTGAGCGAGCAACTAAACCAGTGGATGAAAGCATTGAATTTACTTGAAGATAGTAGATAAAGTGCCACAGGCGATACTCTATCCTACAAGTGCACAGTACAGCCACTCCATAAAATAGTGTGAAGCATTTTTAGGTCATTTTGATAGTTGTCGTGGTGATTGTAATTTAAACACAATGTTAGGGTTCAATGAGCAAATTAAAATGTAATATTGAAACGCTTAACGTTGTCCGGTCAGTACAATATCTAGGTGCACATATTTTCCTTTCAATATAAACCTATGTCTGGAATGTATTCTATTTTGGACGGTCGATCGCAACACAGCACGTCGCTGATTCGGCAAATACCTAATTATTACCAACAGGTGCAAAATATTTAGAGCAAAATCTTGTACCTAAAATGGGATTCACTCCTCTTCCCAGATTACATGCAAGCTTCATCTGTTGGTCTTATGGGCTTACCAACACGCTGTAAACATCTCTATGGCAACCTGAGCTATTTTCGTTCTTCTCCCAGTTTTTCTCTTCTCTTCCCCACCTAGAATCTCAAGCAGAAAATATCCAAGCCCCATGTCCAATGCAAGGGAAATCTTTAAGTAGAAGGCAGTGCTGTACCCAAACCAGTGAACGCAAATTACCAGTACTATATAACATAGGAGCAGTGAATAAGTACTTCTTTATCAGGCCTTGAATTCCAGTGATGTATAATACGATACAGGTGATATGTATTTAGCGCCTTTCACGTCAGGAGGACATCTCAGTGCTTCATGTACACTCAAAAGCCGCACAGAAATTTACAGCCTGATTACTGCAACAATCAGAGGAGCCGTGAATAAGAGCTGGAAATTAGACAGCGGAGATAAAAAGTAATGAGGGAAAATAACAAACTAAAAACTATCTAATAATTCTTACAATCCTTTCAATTGATGTAGTGACTTTCACATCAGGTGGATGTCTCAAAGCTTTACCAACAGTTTACTGTAAAATGTAGTGACTGTGCTGTGTATTTGTA